AAACGTAAAATATTCAAATACTACATTGAAGTTTGGAGATATCTATAAGTTTTGCTGAAGATAAATACTTCATATTCAGTTATTAACACTTTAATACGTTCTAAAATTCAGTTTTCGATAGTAAATTGATCGGGCTAGACACCATTCGCCCCTCGATGATCATTTAACCATCGTAGAGGGAGTACTTTTCAAGTATAGCATAGAAAAATTTGCATTTCGAGCCAGTCTTGTATTTCCGGTGCAGAATAAACTGGGGGGTCCGGGTCACTCTCAAAAGATCCGGACCCGGACTCCGACCCGGACCCGGACCCCCATTCCGGGGGTCCGGGTCCGGGTCAAGACCCCGGGTCAAAATTGGGGTCCGGGTCCGGGGTCCGGGTCCTTTCGTGACCAACCCTGGAGGTGAGCCAAAGGGCAAGTTAAAATCATCCCCAAAATGGCTTTAATCAGCGGTAACCTTGCAAAAACCTGGCTAAAAATCAAGAAACCCGAAGGAAAGCAAGAAAGGAAAGGTTCAAATCCTCGTTCAGTACGCTTAAAAAAAGATGCTATTTACGGGGTCAGAATAGTACTTGATGAATCACTCGGGCAGTTATATCAAGGCGGAAAAAAAAAATCGAGATTTGCCTGATTTTGAAAAAAACGTGGCGCAACCAAAAATTCAAGAAGACATTACGGTCCATAATTGACAAAAAGCTAAGTCAAAGCCTGGGAGATCAGAAGAAAAAAAAGCACAACGTTCTGGCCGATCAAGCACTTTATTTGATGAGATTTCCGAGCTAATGAGACAATTAAAAAGGTATGGAAATTACCGAAACGAAAGAAGCTGCAAAGGCGGAGTTCCGAAACGAAACGTACAGCCAGATATTCTGCCGAGATAAGTGAAACCAAGGGGGTTTCGAAAGCTATTAAAACGACCAGACTTCTGCTAAAGCAGGAGAATTTAAAAAGTCAAGTGCCCCCAGACTGTGGCCGTTGTCGGATACAAAAATAATTCAAAATCAAAATCAATCGATCGTCAACCAAGGCAGCGCAAGGGCCTGATCTCTGCCCTAATGTCCCTAATCGGAAACTCCGGATCCGAAACCATCATGAATGTCTGAGCTTGCGCCAGCTGCGAGATGCGGTGCAAAGACCTGGCCTAAATGCAATAAGGAAAAATGATGCCGAGCAGTCTTTACTCGATTACCCCACGATCCAGTCACAGAAGGGTTCGATAAATTGTATACATTTTCTATACCTACTATATATTTATTTTCTATAACGTTAAAAACTTGATGCCTCTACAATTTCGAGGAAACGCAACCACGCAAAAATATGTGAAAAAATGAAACGCATCTTTAAAAGAAAACTAGAAAATAGAAATAAGAAGAAAAGTAGGTTAACTTTTTTCGCTCAAGAATTTTCATAGAATGCGATTTCTTGAACTATTGTGGGGCTTGAAAAGTATGGAACCCACTGCACTCGGGATACAGAAACTCTGAAAAGCTAGGGCCAACCGGAAATCTCTCAAATGCTTCGACAGGCATGCGCAGGGGGTCCAAGTCGATAAAGACGAAACGCGGCCATCGAAATCAGAGGTATCTGAGCCAAAAAGCGTAGGAAGAGCTGAAGACGGTCGGAAATTGCAAAACTAAGTGGTGAAGCTTTGTGATAATTTTATAGTAAGTCAATTCTTTTGTATTTTTGCAAATTCATAAGCTGCATCAACTAGCTAAAATGCTCCTAAAAATTTTCCAAACTTCCCTAAATGTCAAAAGAAACAGCAAAATTGCCCTATGGTCTTTTTTATCTCTTATGGTATTTTCTTTTGTTCTTCGTCTTTGAAATTAAAAATAATTACCAGAAACTCTGAACTTACCATGCAAAATTCATGAAAATTTCGAAGATTTTTGAATGTTGGTTAAAAAATTATGAAACCCGCCAGAAAACTGAAAATTTACGATTTCAATTTTTTATAAATTTCTAGTAAGCAAAAGCCATTAAAAACTCCTGAAAAATGTCTTATAAATTATCAACGGGAAATAATCAATAAATTTTCCTCATTTTTCAGGCTCGGGTTCGTTAAATTAGCCGGGAGCGACGCTGTCCAAGTTTATCGATCGGAATGTTGCACCCGACGATAATATGCTCCTCAGCCGGGATATGCCGAGCAACTTATACCTATCTATTTGCATATTTCTAAACCCAATTAGATAAAAATAATTTCAATAATTATCGTCGGGCACCCCACAACGTACCCAACCAAATCAAACACCAACAATGACGATTTTGAACAGTTTTAGACTTAGAATTATACACAATTTTGTCTGTCCTTTTGTCTGTTTCTCTCTTTCTTTCTCTCTCTCTCTCTCTCTCTCTCTCTCTCTCTCTCTTTCGCGCTCTCTCTTTGTCTCTCTTTCTCTCGCTCTCACTCTTTCTCTCGCACACCCTTCACCGAAATATCTGTAAAAATAAAAATAAACCGTTCTTTTTCTTCAAGCCGTTAATGCGTATTCAAATTTTGGTCTCCCGATTTCATTGCTACTGTAGTTGGGTCCAATCAGACAAAGCTAGAATGCATTGCGCCAGCAGGTGGAAGGGTTTCATGAAGAGGGCTCAGTAAGTACTCGGAATCGGCCACCGGGGCTCGAAGTGCGTTCTCTGAGCAGCGGTGCGTATCGAAGTGGTCTAGATTTTTTAGCACGACCATGAGTGAAGAGGATTATTTAGCTTAATCTTAATCGGTTTCGCGCAGAAACCAATATCCTTCAAGATAGCTGGCGATATTTTCTAACAAATGCGCTAAAAAACTTAAAAAAAATGCATATTTTAAGGAGGTTTCGCGTGGGCAAAATCGACTGGGCCCTCAATTTTCAAATCATCTTATTCTGGTGGTGGACTAAATAAAGTATATTTTCGTAATAAAGGTTTAAGTATATTTTTTTTAGAAACAAAACATGCATTTTATCAATTTCATTAAGTGCACTCGCCGTGCAGCAAGTTCTCCATAATCATTTGGACCAAGGCAAAAGTATTGAAAGAGAATCATAATTTTCGAATCATGAAAACACTGCCGCAGAAGCCACCTGCCGGAATCGCTGCCAAAAACCAATCAGCGATTCTCATTGCTCAGACATCCGCTGTAAAAATGACGACCCTCGCCTATGAAGAGCCAATCTACTATCTATTCTTTATGCGTTTCATGTTTGTATTAGGAACACTCTTGAACTCGTTTACCGTATACGTAATCCTGCGAAAATCGCCAGCCTCCATGCAGCAATACAAATACATGCTGTTGTTTTATCAGGTGGTCATTTCTGACTTGGATCCTTTCCCCCATAAAGCGTCCCGAAAAACCGATTCTTGATGAGCCGGGTGAACGAGAAAAAAGACTAAATAAAGGGAGACCTGAAAGCTTCGTAAGTAAGTAAGTAAACTTAAGTCAGCTTAGGCTCAAAACCTCAAGGAGTTTTCGGCTCTTTCAGTTTTGGTCGATTGCTTTTGAAGTATTTCTACATTCCATCGAGCCGCAACCTTTCTTCCCGACCCTGTTTCTACGACTATCCGGCTGGATGTCCGCAGTTTGCGGAATGAATGGTCTGCTGGCTTTTGTAGGTTTTGATTCGTGCTGACCTTGGTGTGATCGGGGTTGAGTTGTAAATTCGTGTCAAAAAATCGTACAGGTACCATCAGTACGAGTACCATGCAGTTTACTTCGTTGTGAAAAACGCAAAATAGCTGCTAAAAAGATGTCTTCGGCGCGAAATCGCTATTTTGGCAGGGCCGGTTTTACAGGTGGTTTTCCCCTGTAAGTAGTGTCGGACAGCACCCCAAGAAACGCACCCCGGGTGCCTTTGAAACGCACCCCGGGGGGTCTTTGAAACGCACCCGGGGTGCCTTTCAAACGCACCCCGGGGTCTGTTTGTTGCACCCCGGGGTGCGTTTAATTACACCCCCTCTCCGTCGGGGGTGCATTAATAGTGTCCCCAGGTGCCTTTAGACGCACCCCGGGGTGCCTTTCGGGTGCGTTTGGGGGTGTGTTTTGGGGTGCGTTTCGGCCCCACAGGTGGTAAAGAATCGCAAGGCAAGCCGATAAATGAAAGCTTTTTTTTGGCATAGAAATATTACAGAACCCTTATAAAACCCTTCAATATGCTATTCTTGCCTTATTTCATACTCCAGTTACATCCTATTAATTGTTATCTGTTCCATTTCTGAAAATCACGTCAATAATTTCCATAATTTTTGACAAAAGCATGAGTAAAAACATTTTAAGCCCCGATAAAGTGTGAAAATCGTACCAAAATCGTGTAAAACTACAACACAGCCTATCAAATATATCTTACTGAAAGCGGAGCCGTCGGATGGCATCAATTCTGTATAGAAAACATAGTAAAACATATCTGTAATATTTCTATGCCAAAAAAACTTTTATTTATCGGCTTGCCTTGCGATTCTTTACCACCTGTGGGGCCGAAACGCACCCCAAAACACACCCCAAACGCACCCCGAAAGGCACCCCGGGGTGCGTTCAAGGCACCAGGGACACTATTAATGCACCCCCGACGGAGAGGGGTGTCTTTTCAACGCACCCCGGGTGCGTTTCAAACAGACCCCGGGGTGCGTTTGAAAGGCACCCCGGGTGCGTTTCAAAGACCCCCCGGGGTGCGTTTCAAAGGCACCCGGGGTGCGTTGCTTGGGGTGCTGTCCGACACTACCTGTAAGGCGGCCGGCCGAACTTCTGGAGTCTTATCGTCCGACCTACGAATTCAGGGAGTTGGTGCGGCGCTATTCTTTTTGATTTGGTCTTTGCGACCACCTAGTGCCTTGTCTATCGCCATCGTCAGATTCTTCCCGTCGGTCACTTGTTACGGTGGGATGCGTTATTCATTAACCGCCGGTTTCTTAAATTGTAAGGGTTGCTTCACCAATGGGTTTCATTCAAAGTTCAGGCGATTTGTCATGCAAATCAGAAGCGTACACTTTCAAACTGTTACACAAATTCAACATTTTTTAACATGGAATTTAAGTGGTTGATGGTTTTGTAAGTTTAACCGCGCCACTCAAACAATCTGATTTTTGTAAAAACTCTTCAGCGGACAAGCAGCAAACATACCGACCTTAGTAAAAATAAGAAAAATTACGGAATTGTGGAAATCGGAGAAACTACCCGGTCATTTTCCGTATGGGTGCCGGCTTTGAAGTTCCTAATTCAATAAAAAACGTCTTCTTGTGAGCATTCGTATCATTTTTTCCTTGTCCTACTTGTCCTACAATGACCAGATTGACCGTTGAGGATCCCAACCCCACTGATCGTACTGATTTTCGTCGGACATTTTATATTCTACGACGGTCTGTTTGTGCACACATTATCCCTTGGACGGGTTGAGCTGGGTGTTGGATCAATCACAGAGGGCATTCTAGAGGTGTCATCGCGCTTAAAACGTCAACCTTTCATGATTCAGCGATACCCCGAGTACAGCTTCGTACTCGAGCGCTCGGATCTCTTTGCCGGAGATGCGGCCGGGATTTATCCATTCACTGGACTAACAATGCAGATGAATGCCTGCCTCATAGCGTTTCTGATGATATTGGAGGGGAATTGCGTGGTTCGTTAGTTATCGGCTAAGTTTCACCTACAAGTGCAGAATGCAGCTGATATGTTGGACACGATTTTAAGTATGTAAACTCGGGGCAACAGCTGCAACCTCGGGCTAGCTTACGTCGCCTTAAAAATTTCGGTACCTGCGGAAAATTACGTTACGAAAATTAAACACCTACGAGTTTATTCCACACCATTGCAGGGTGGCTTCATGATAGCCCACTCGTTTTGGATGTTGGACGGCCACGCGCGAATCAGCGCCCAGACGAGGCGGCTGCAAAAGAAGCTGATGAAAGCATTGATTCTTCAGGTTTGTCGTCGGATCAAGGTCGTCGTTAAATGTCTTTAGTTGGCTATCCCCTGTTTGACGCTCCTATGCCCTTGGGGCCTATTCGCTCTCGTCCAGGTGACGAGGTGGATTATCGATCCAGGTATGTTTGTCGTATTTTTATCTAGATTAACGCCATCTTAGGATGCTATCATTGTAAGCGTTGGACTGAGCTAAATTAAATTTTTGAAGATGTAATTCCTTTAAGCTATCCTGAATTTTGCCTTTTGGTGCAACAGCTGCCACGCGACGATCTCATCCATTTCCATCCTATTATTTACGGACCCATATCGAAAATTCCTTGTAAATACGTTTGGTATTAGAAAGTGGGTTTCATAACGTAGGGCATACGCAAACTTTTGGCCAGGAAACAGGACACGTCGGTGGTGTTTCGCACTCCGGACCCGAATGTGATGGGGAGGCGCAAGGCGCTGGATGTGCGCAGGACCATAGAATAAATTTTGTGAAATAGCGGCTTTGGAAACACTGGTCTAAGCTAATATAGACCGCCTTCAAATTTTTTCCGAAGTTGCTTTCAAGGAGTAAAAAATGTCGAAAGCGTTTATGTTTAAGTTTCTTGAAAAATATACCGCCCCACCCGTAATTAAAATTAGAGGCAATCCGGTAATTATGTGCAGTAGGTTGGCGTCATTAGCGAAATAGGTATAACAAATAGAATGTAGTCCACCAATTCTACGACATGTTAACGTGTTGTAATTGTAATTCACAAAAATCTCCGATTTGCCGGGCCTGCCGCCTCTCCGCGTCTAGTGAGGCATTCAAATATTAACAACAAATGCGGACAAATCGATAGGAAATGACAGGCCCGCCTCGAAACTGATGTCTCATTTTGCTGCTCGACAACCACTGACTTTTTCTCGTAGAATATGAAACGACAGACTTCAATTTCACTCTCTCTCTCTCGCTCTCTCTCTTTCTCTCTCCCTCTCTCACCCTCTTTCACACTCTTTCCCTCTCGCTTCCTCTCTCTTTCCCTTTATATCTCTCTCTCTCTCTCGCTCTCTCTCGCTCTCTCTGTTTCTCTCTCCCTCTCTCTCTCTCTCTCTCTCTCTCTCTCTCGCTCTCTCGCTCTCTCCCTTTCTCTCTTCTCTCTCTCCCTCTCACTTTCTCTCTCTCTCTTCTCTCTCTCTCTCTCTCTCTCTCTCTCTCTCTCTCTCTCTCTCTCTCTCTCTCTCTGCTTCTCGCTTTCCTCTGACTGACAAAAACCTTGTTTTAGGTGCACACCTCGTGCTCGGGGAATTCTACCAAAATCCAACGATTTCTTTAAGGAATCGTCTCCTGCTTAAATTCTACAAATAAGAATATGACAATATTTGAAACCACTTGCCCAATTTTGAGCCAAATAACGGAAGAGATGATGTGTTGCTGTTGCCTTTGAAAGTTTCTACACAAGCCTCTGAGAATCAATAATTTTGTAATAATGGCCAGGAATGAGGCCCAAGTCCAAACCGAGATGTCCATCGCGCATCACGAGATGATCAACGCGGCCTCCCAAAGAATTAGAAAATCAGAAGCGCAACTGATTTGCATGGTAGGCGACGAGCGAAGCACCGAACCACCGAACCACCGAACCACCGAAGCCTACCAGCGAACAAGACCGTTGCTTGCGAACGCAAATTTTTCCTGGAATTGCTGCCGGGGCGTTATTTGAAAGGATCTACGTGAAAAAAACGACTTCAGGTTCGTTAATTTTTAGCTTGCAAGCCTTATTTTTGAAATTAGTGTTATACAAAAACGTGTGTAACGTGTAACGTCTTGTAAATCACCATAGCTAATCGGCGCCAAATGTTATTGCATAAAAAATTTAAAGGCTCAGATTCCGGAGTTGCTATGATAACGCCGAAATGAAAATCTTTAAATTTAAGACGTTGAAAAATTTTTAGAATCTCAAAAGATTTCGGTGCCGAAATTTGTCTGATGATGAAGCCAATTTATCGATTGAAAAATATAATTAAAATGGATTTTTTTCGTAATGAAATTTTTGGTGTAATCAGATTTCAGTGTGCTGTTTTTTTGCATAATGGATCGTTCTTTGACAAAAATAACTACAAATTTTCAGCTTTATCGTGGATAAATCTGGGCTTCCGCTCCGAGAACATCAACTGATCACATTACTATTGAAACAATGGGTGAGTTTTTATGGCTTAAATATATTAATATATTCTGAAAGTGCCCATTCAAAATACCGACGCTTTATTGTGCCGAATTTCGAAATTTACATCGGAAAAACTCGATCATAGCCTTTTTTAGCAAAATGATGCGATTGCGCTCTACATCAAGCCGGCGCGCCGAAGCCTTTCTCCACCATGGTGATCCCAGCTGGATAGTGCCAGCTGGCAATTTTCTTATGATCAACTGAAGCACCATTGAAATCGTCTGGGACGACCGCTGTGGAGCATTAAAGCTGGTTCGAGAATCCCTTTATATTGGATTTTTCCACACGCTAACCTCGATCGGCCTGGCACGAAGCGACGCGCTCATTTTCAACATTTTCGAAAAATGTCCACCTTGACCAACACGTCGTCGGGACGGGACTGTTGGGCCGAAGTCACCACGGTCCCTTCTGCGTGGGTTGCTCATTTTTATATGCAAAAATCATCGAAAAATTAGCAAGAATTTTACAATACGCAAGGTCGTGCTCAGCCGCTTGAAAAAAAACCCCGAAAAAACTCGTATCTTTTTCAGCTGCGTGGAAAATGTCAAATATTGTTGGGACGCCGGGTTGCTGGGCTCAAGTTCCTCTCGGTATCGCTTACTGCGGAAAAAAAATTGTATGATCCATTTTTGAGAATTACTGCGACAACTGCCGGTTGGACACTCACGCTGTCGAACGTCCAAACTGAGAAGAAGTTTCGCCAGAACTCGAAAATTCTTGATTGATAAATAATGATCTAAATCAAACCACATATCTGAATAGAGAGAGAGAGCAAGAGAGATGGAGACAGCGAGAGAGAGAGAGAGAGAGAGAACGGGAGTGAGAGAGACAGAGAGAGAGAGCGAGAGAGAGAGGCAGAGAGGACTGCCACTGTTTCTATGCATTAATTTTATCCTCAAATTTTTGTTAGAAATTTGCAATATTATTTTCAAAGCTTCTCGTAGTTATTGTTCACCTCCGTCGGCGATTTTTCTTGTAGTACTTGCCTAAAGATCCGAATTTTGTCTGGCTATTTCATTTCCAAGCTTACCAAACGCGTTCCGAGGCACAATATAGACGATCCGGATGTGGAAAACCATTAAATGGAGATTCACAGACTTGTCTAGAATAAAATAAATTCAAAAAGTGTCCGTTAAACACTTACGTATAGGCGCCTTTGAAATCATAAAATATCCAGTCGCCCGTCGTTAGCCTTTCCATTGACTTATTTGTCTAAAAAACGTGTGAATTGGAAAAATTGTTGTTAAAAATAAGTCCAAAACGCAAAGATAATTAATTGTTGCATTATAAAGCAATTAAAAATATCAAAGTTAAGCTTTATTTCAAACGCTCACCTCTATCTTGTCTTTGGAATCACACGTCGGCCCCCATATCCTCGAGATCATTTCCGGAGCGTTTTTAGGCTAAACGACAGTTTTTTGAAGCTGATAAAACAGTGAAAACGCTTAGATTGTCACGAAAACGTAAAAAAAAAAACAAAAATGAAATCAGTCCGGCCACTTACAAACAACGGCCGTCCCGGAGCATCCAAATAATCCCACAGCACGCATACAAATGCTCCGAATATCGTGGACGTGATGTAATATTCCATGCCGCGTCTCGAAGCGTCATCATCTGAAGCGATAGTTATTGAGCAGACGATAAAATAATCTCAAAAAATGGAAAATTAAAATTTACAAAAGTGTAACAATTTTTTAGGACAAATTTCCAGATTTTGGCTACTGTGGTAAAGCGCGGTTTTGGGAATTATAAATAATTTAAAAAATAGGGTTTAATATAGCGTAGTCGCGCGGCAAAGAAAAGTAGACAACAGCCCTACCGTTTCCGGTAATCTTCTTCAGCGACACTTCTTTTGCTAGCTGCACATTGGCGCAAATCGTCGCTGCCGGACAGGCGAAGAAACTGGAATTTCTCGGTTTGAATATAAACACGAATTTGCGAAAAAAGATGATAGAAAAAGCGCTAAAACGATCAAGCGAGACGAGACAGTACGGTACCTGCCAGGCTCGGCTACGCATCGGACGGCCAGTTCCTTTGTTAATTTTTCAAGACATGGTATTGCAGAGGCCGCACACTGAAAAATAGTATATTAAAAACTCTAGGTATTCCACTCTCATTTTCAATAACGTTTCACCGACTTTGCAACGACAGCATACCTTTTTAAAGCTCTCTTCGCTGGTTCCAGAGTATCCACCCCCGATGTCGATCATTTTCATCTCAAGCCCTAGACTTCGACCCAGTATCGTCAAATTCCGTGCCTGAACATCTTTATAGTTTTTGTTAGAAGCTCTCTTTACATTTTCCAAGGCCTTCGGTATCGCCGTGTGATCATCGCAGCCGAAGCCGACGTGAAAACTAAGATCGGAAACGTTGATAGTTAGGTCTTCATATTTTGTACCTTATTCCATGAATCGGGATTCTCAGCGCGGCTGCTAGCCTCAGAATCTCCGGAGCTTCATCGAGAGGGTCGGCCCCGAATTTTTGGCTCAAGTCCAATTTTGCATCTCCGCTGGAGGCTGCTATCCGGACGACTGTTCTAGAGAACTTGTGTAAAACGAGAGAGTGAGAGAGAGAGAAGGGAGGGGGGAGAGAGAGAGAGCGAGATAGATACTGATAGTTAAAATTTGGGCTTACTTGCAACCAGGAAAATATGCGTGATGTTTCATTAATTCTTCAATCGAATCGACTACCAGCAGCTCCACACCCTTGGATTTTGCGTACTAAAACTTTTTCGTATTAAAAGCCTTTTTACTTACCTTAATAGAAGCTACCGTTTTAGCCGGATGCGCAAATATTATCCTATCTGGTTCGACGCCGATGCTGAGCACCTAAAAAAATGACGGTCATACCTAGAAAATGATGGTGATATGAATATATACGGCTATGAATTTGCTTAAGGGCTGCAACTACCTTTTGAACTTCTCCCTGGCTCGCACAGTCAAACGAGCAGCCCAGGCGGTTCATGACTTCTAGCAGTAGGATGTTGTCGTTCACTTTGACTGCGTAGAAGGGCTAAATCACCGAAAACTAACAAAATTTTGTATGGATTACCAAGATTCCAGGAAAATGCTCATTCCAGAGCTGAATTCTGTTGACTACCCGATCGAGGTTGTAGAGCATGAAGCCGTTTTTGTTGTCCTGAACATGATTTTGAGCTATCCTGGAAGACGACAAAAATCCTTTAGTTGGAGTGGCATGATATCTTGACTGATTTTACTTGATTTTTGTAAAATTCATTCAATTCTGCTTTTGGTATGATAATTTGAGTTTTTCTAGGCATTTCTCTAATCCTTGAATTTACCTTTGTATCCCGATAATTCGCGATCTTCTGGCACAACTCGAAGTCCGAGATTTCCGGGAACAACGCTATCTAAAGCTTCGTTTTTCCATTATTTAATTTGTTTTACATACCTGCTCATCTAGCAAATTCACAGCCTTCCCGCCACTCCGGTTGATCCACGTCTCGCGCATCTGTAAGGTGTCTACGCTGTGTGTCTTGATCTAGACGATCCGAGTGTTTATAAATGGGATCCGAGATCACGAAAAAAGCGCACGAGATACTGTTGCGATTTCTCCGAAAAGGGGCAGGAGGGTATCATTTCTCACCGTCGCTTGAGTCCCATATTTTTCCTAATCTTAGTTCCTGTATCAAAGGTAAGGGTGCGATGTCTGGAAACCGATTTAACCGCAAGTTCTCTGACTGTGGAGTGACAACATTAAAAATGTGGTCAGCTGACTTTGATTTTTATAAGAAAAAAATACACAGACGAGAACGGAGGATCTTTGCTTAAAAAAACGTTAAGCGCCTGATCTACCGATTCATGTACCAAAATCTATTTGCTAAAAATCAGCTCATATACATAATTCTAGCCACTAGCAAAATCGGTAATCTACTCTATAAACGCGTGCTCGCTTTTCGATAAAAATATAAATGGAAAAAATGAAAAAGCAAAAAGGGCAACTAAGCACATTTTCTCTAGCCCTCCAAATCTTTCCAAAATGGCGCACAGGCCTCAAAAAAAGCCAGAAATGTTTCTTTTTAACTCTTTCATTTTGTTCATGAGTAGCTTGAACGAGATAAGTCGGAAAAGCAGACATGCTCAGACAGCCAAAACGCAGAAAGCCAAAACGCAGACAGGCAATTGCACAGGATTTCTGCATATTCGGTGTCCGCGATTTGTCTTTCTGCGTTTTGTCGTGTCTGCGTTTTGGCTCTCTGTGTTTTAGCATTCTGTGTTTTGCATGTCTGTGTTCTGGCTGGAATTCAGCTTGAACCCTTGTACGAGTAGCTTGAACCTCTTAAAATCAACAAAAATCTTCGATATCAC